TCTGGTCAGAGGGGCCGAGAGCGACAGGAGCTTCGCTATGTGCTATGTGTTCGAGCGTGTGCTCAAGGTTTCAACCTGGTGGTTCTGTTGTGGTGTACCAGTGAACTTGATCGATCTGAATCAAGTTATCTATTGGGAGAGAGCGCATCCCCTTTTATAGATGAAGGGGATAGCCTTACAAGTGAGAAGGAGAGAGTACGTATGCTACTAAGTCTTATTGCCCACGCCGGCAAGTACAGGATGATGGTAGGCGCCCACAATACTGTTGAATATCAAATGCACGTGGGAGGTTGTGTTGTCTTCTTCGGGTATGGCAGACGTCGACGCCAGCCACACTGTTGATACCTGGAGGCATGCAAGGGGTTTTACCATGTTCGCCTGGTACGGTAAATGCCGGCGCCCACAACACTGTCGATGCCTAGAGGCATGTGGGGGGAGTCTTACCGTATGTGTCTGGTATGGGAGTTAATGGCGCCTACAACACTATAGGGGAAAATGTCGGCGCCTATAACACTGCTTGAGTTCTGTCGTGCCAGGAGGGTCGCAGGGTACTGCCTGGTAGGTGCACAAGGTACGGTCCCTGGTATTGCGGTTTGACTTGTGCACCCTGCCTTACTTTCTCCGTCCGTTTCCTGTCCTTACCGAGCGGGCGTCCCCGGTCGGTTGACCACAGTCGGCTCTGACTGCGCCAGTTGGAAAGGAGCTTGTAAGCAGGGGTTCGACGTATCCCCGGTCGGAGACGTGGGTCGGAGTCAAAAAGCGGTGTTTGGTCAGGCCTTCCGGTCGGAGAGGCCGTCCGGAGGCGGTTTGGAGACCGAAGCGAGCACTCCGGTCGGAGAGGTGGGTTGGAGTCGGAAACGGGCGTCGTTCCTCCTTGGCCTGACCTTCCGGTTAGAGATTGGATCGTTCTTCTGGCCTGTCGTCTAGGTATTTTGGGTTGGCCCATGAGTTGCGCGTTGCTCGCAACGTTGTCTGTTGGGCCGAGCCTTTGTTGGGAAGCTGATCCATGAGGGACTCCGGGTTTATGAACCCGACACTGTCCATTGTAGCTGTGAGGTAAGCATGTAGTTGCTAAATGATGATAGTGTTCAACGACGACTGACCATATATAAAGAGCTGCAGTACAAACCATCTAAGGAAGAACATATTAGTCCATAATATGGCACATATATTTATCCAAAATCCATTAATGAAAGGTCATGTGAGCATTGGATGCCACAAAACAGTGATATGGCACATATATTTATCCAAAATCCATTAATGAAAGGTCATGTGAGCATTGGACGCCATAAAACAGGGCTCATGTATTTGAAGCTAAGGCATAGAAAACAGGGGAAAAATCGGTTTTAGCCACCATATAGGATTGTCCAGTGCAGAACGATACGGAAGATACATTATGCTATAAAACAATGTACATGATTAGTAAACGAAATAACCTAAGTCAGAGGCTGGTTCAATATCATAAATCCTTACCATTCCTGAATGAGTCAAAGGTTTTTTAGTGGATCCATTGAATTGTACAAACTGTATTAGAAGCAATAATTCTTATTTTAGTTTCATAACCTGAGAACCAAAGATGTGCAGAGGTATGAGGAAACTGGAAGAATATAAAGGAGCAAATATGTGTCCATAATAACAAAAGATAATGCATAGGCTTGCAAATAATACATATAAGGCACGGAATATGTGGACAAATCCAGTAGTTGTACCACTGCAACGGTTAGTAAAGTGATATGACAGTCAAATTGATCAGCTGGGCTGAAGGCAAGGAGCACCAAAAAGGCAACCGTGTTACCTGTTCTTGTCTTTGCTTTTGCAAGATCATCCTTTCCTGCAGGGGAAAAACACTTAAATGTTACTCTAGGGGTCTGAAGAAATCATTGAGGGATTTAACCGTAGTGTTTTGGCATGTATGCTGACCTTGAATAAATATTGGCAGAGTAGCTTCCTACACCTGGGTCATCCTTTCATCTCCAGCATCTTTGGTGGCTCAGTGACAGTGGAGAAATAGCACATTGATGAAACCTGTGACATGCATAGCAGGTACCTATCAAAGTGACAGGATGATGGATCGTAATAGTTAAGATGTACACTAACGACGCAGGCAGCAATGTGATAAACTGGAAATCAAATCCAAAATAAGCTCCCAGTTCCAGATGCTACGGAATTACAGATCTCTTAATGCTGAAGAAGGTTACTAAATTTTTGATTTGGGGCTGAGTCTGCCCTCACCGACAACTTGAGTCCTGTTTGGGACAGTCAATTTACACGGAATCGATTCCATCTAGGGAGGCAACACCAAATTATCCGCAGCATCGGAGGTCCTGTTTGAGACGGCTAGATCGAATCGAATGAGATCCATGTAGAGGGGAAAGACAGAAGGTTGGACTCACCATTCGTGGCCGCACAAACGGATCGGACGCATTCGAGGTCGTGTTCACCAATCGGTGGTCCCGTTGCGCTCCCCTAACGTTGTGGAAGTTGGGGCGGAGGACGTGCCGGGGGCACCGGCGCGGGTGGCCGGCGGGGCCCACTCGCGTGGCGCCATGGCCGGGTGCGCCCACCACCACGACTGCGCATCGCGGGGATCCGGCCATGCTGGGGGCCCTGGGCGCTCCGGCAGGATGGACGCGGGTGTTGGTGAGGAAGACGAAGACACAGCTGGGCCTCCCGAGCGTGGGGGGTCGTCCGCAGGCGCAGCAAGGGCGGAGCAGCGGAGCTGGAGCGGGCGCAGCGCGGACACAGGCGATGGGGAAGGGCGGGAGGAGGAGGAGGCGGCGCGGCGGAAGGAGCGAGGCAGAAGAGGATTTAGAAGACTGTGCGAGGAAGGTGCGGGTCGATGGGGATGGGGATTTTTTTTTTGGTCCCTGTGTATGTATACAATGGGAGAGGGATAAGGCTGATGTGGGTTGGCCAGGCTGGTGTGCCTTGGTGGTTTCAGAAGCCGTGATATGTGGACAGTGGACTGTACATGGAGGACGAAGGTACAGAGGATCGGATGGTTCACGTATGTGTCCTGTAGATCTACATGGATACGTGAGAGGGAAGCAGGGAAGCACTGCTGATCAACAGTAAGTTTCACCGGGATTAGAGATTTGAGACTACTACTATATTATATATATATATATATATATATATATATATATATATATATATATATATATATATATATGTGTGTGTAGATCTATGTAGATGTAGATTTTCCAAAATCAATTACCAAAGGTACAAATGTGTAACTTAGGATAAACCTAATATGATACTCTCTCCGTCCCAAAATAGAGGTCGTTATAGGATACGTACAGGTCAAACTTTCTCATCTCTGACTAGCTTCGTAGAAAATACGTGTAACATTTACATCTCCGAGTAAGTTTATTATGAAAATATATTCAACGATCTATCTAGTGATATTAATTATGTATTATAAATATTAATATTCTTTTACACATAAGTGGTCAAAGTTGAAAAATGTTGACTTCTTGGGAAGCGAGAACGACTTATATTTTGGGACGGATGGAGTATGTAAATAAAAACAGAGGGAGTATGTTTATATATATTTACATATCATGTGATTGTTGCTGTCAGCTATGTGAATAATTTAGAGCTGGGTGTATTCAATTTCAACCCATCTCGGTATCCAATTTGGGTGTTTGGTTTTCCCGCACCTTGTTTACAATGCCACTTATTAGCTACTCCTACGTTGGCCAGGATTTGTTTTAGTCGAATTTCTGTGGAGGTGTTTAGTAAAACAATTGGTAGATTGCTGAAACCATGCCCGGCTGCAGCTGACTTCTCATGAGTAACAACAGCTTCTGTTAATCTGTTCTCTCTGCTGCTCTGCAGCTAGCAATAGGCACACCCTCTGGTGTTCAACCTCTTTGCCCTTCCATTGTCGAGAAAGCGTTTGTTAGCTGGACCAAACAGCTCTTGGCGCTCCCAAGAACCGCCAATGGCATAGCCTGGCTCTCTCACTCTGATCCCTCTTGGCCATAACAAAAAGAGGTGAGGTCAAATCACTCTGAACTTTTTTTATAACCCAAGCGCCATCATTTCCTGGTGGTGTGACAGTGATACTCTCTCACAAGCAAAATAGTTTTCCGATACCGATGTGGTGGTACAACGGCTAATGCGGCTTGGTACTACTTTACGCTTTCGCTTCTGCGAATTTACGTCTTCACCGCACGAGTTGTTGAAGAATTCCACGCCAGAAGACCTGAGTAGGCGAAAGCCTGGCTACTGTTGAGGGTTTGACGAAAGAGCGGTCGTTTTAAACTGACGAGATGCTTCTGGGATTCTCAGCTAGCAGGTTGCCAGCCATGGAAATGGTGCCAGTGGTTAGCTTCGCCTTCGCCTTTGTTGCTTCACCAACCTCCCCAAGGTTGTTAGTTCGCTCAAAGGATATTCTCTTGACATGGTATATTCCATTTCTGATGGCTTAATAACAATGGGATATGAGATTTTGCTCCAAACTATGGAGTGGTAGGATGCATTGCCCTTGCCATTTGCGACAGTCAAAGCTGCTGCAGGTGTGCCAGACACGAGCAAGAGACCTCTGCATATTCTAAACGTGAGTGTTTCACCAACCATGTGAAACCATACGGTGGATTTTAGGCGGCATGATTGAGCGCTGAAGGGTTTGACGCCATTTGCCAGTCATGCTGACTGACTGACACATAATTCACAATTCCACATCGGCTGTGCAAAACTACAGCACTTGACATACAGCTCAGATGAGATGACTTGGTCGCTTTGGCTGTATCAAACTGCTATAATTAATGAACAATATGATTGGTCTTTACAAAGTTCCACAATGGCATTATTATGTTATAATAAGGATGGTTTATATCATTCTTTTATTCAATGCAAGTCGCCCGCGTACCATTTTTCTGCAACGCAGGTAGCTTTCTGGTCTACAGAAATAGGTCTGGAACACTGCCAATCGAGTATGGAAAGTAAACAGTAGTCCTATGCACAAGCTTCTGCAAGTGGCACTGCAGGTGCTTTCACCACCAATCTTGGCAAGAAACACCTTCATCTGCCGGATAAACTTGTCCCTGAAACTCTCCACGTGTTCCAGGAAAAAAAAACTGCCAAAGTAAAATTTCCGACAAGTGATTAACAATCTTGGAAAAGAGAACGATCGTTAACTCTGAAAAGAAGAATGTCAATTTGACAACGTGATTGTACCCAAATTCTATCTCGAACTTCCTATTTTGAAAATAAAAATAGAAAAATAGGAGAAAAATATATGACAGAAAACAGAAAATCATCAGGCGAGTTGAGAATGCTGTGCACTGCACTATACCAGATCTTATTTGTTCTAGGTCCTGAATATTCCTTGCCATCGAGTGCTCACTTGTAAATCCCAACGAGGTAAAGGTCATATAGAAGTGTGGCGTTTCCGGGAATGTTGCAGTCTCCTGTCAAAAAACTAGATGGTCTGAACTCTGAAGTTCTGAACACGTATTCAGTTTGCTGACAATGCTAGATGATGCTTATCTATGGTGCAGCCAATAGCTATTGCCACAGAAACTTGTACTGTTATAGTGTTATTATTATGCAGAAAAGGGTGAGAAATTGACCTGAGAAGCAGCCTGCTGGTTCAGGCCCGTACGCCAGTGACGCAGGTATCATTAGCTTGCGCTTTCCACCTGAAGCAGGTTTGCAACGGAGTGATGAAACAGCATGCCAAAGCAAACCTCTAATGCACAACTAGCTGCTGAGTTCTGTCCATACCAACAAGCATGGGTGGCACACCACCGCCGCCACTGATCCCCTGTTCAAGCCCTCGGAGGATCTGCACACGGAAAACGCGAAACAAACAAACGATCATCTAGTGGCACGAAAAATGAACGTCGTTTTCAGTGAGCATCAGACGCTGCACACCTTGCCTGCACCTATGCGCATTGTCAGTGGCCTGCCGCGCTTGTAGCTGCTGTCGAACAGTGTACCGTCAGGAAACCTTGCAGTGTAGTGCACCTGACGACCGTCAAGAGAGAATGGATTATGATCCGAAGCAACACAGAATTCAGACCAGGATGGCATATATTACTCATATATAGAAGGGAAATGGTCCACTGTATAGAGAAAATTGAGTCAAAGGAAATCGCATGGCATGCAAGAAACCGTTGTCTCGGTACTGACATTGATGAGCTCGCCGCGCGGGGGCTGGACACCGGTGCCAACCTCGACGTCACAGTACGCGAGGCCGGACTTGACGAGGCTCAGGTCGCACAGCTGGTCCCCGACCGTCGCGTAGTACTCGACGCGCGTGGCGCCGGCGTCCCCAGCCGGGATCAGCAGCGCGGCCGAGGACAGGAACCCCGCGCCCAGCGCCAGCAGCCCCCTCCTGCCCGCCGATGCCGCCGGCGCCGCGGCGTGGCGAGAAGGAGTCGAGGAAGTGGACGGCGAGGCCGATGAGGACGCGGAGCTGCAGGGCGCCACGGCGAGCGCTCTGCTGCTGGGCTTCGGGAGCAGCGGCGTCGGGATTTGGCTGGACGCCACGAGAGACGACAGGGAGGAGATGGGTGGTGCCATGGTTGCTGGTGGCGTGGATTTGGATTATCCCCGAACTGTGGCTGCAAGGCGCGCAGGCTCTCGGGTAGTTATAGCGATGCCCCGAAATTCGTCGCGCGGAGGCAGCGTGGTGGGCTCTGGATGTTTGAGCCGGCCACTGCGCACGGCAGGCCGGGGGTTTTGCCGGGCCAGGCCGCGAGTTTCGGGGCAGAACGGCATAAGATACACACGCTCCGAGCGCTGGATCTCGGCCCATCGGAGCAGGACGGCGCATACGACGCATGCTTCGCCAACGTTGTGCGCGGTGCGCCGGCGGGCCGCGTCTCGGCACGCGTCCAGGCCAGTGAGGACGGCAGGCGCGACGCCTGGCAGGCAGCAGGAGAGCCGAAAGACTGCTCGTGCAACAGGTGATCGAAACGTTTGTTTGCATGCACATCGATCGAGGCGCTAGAATCGGATAAGACATAGGGTGTGTTTGGTTGAGCTGTGGCGGTGGAAAAAAGCTATGGAAAAGCTGCTGTGGGCTGTGAGCTGTAAAAAAGCTGAAAGCTGTTTGGTTAAACGAGTATAAAATATATCTTCTATCTTTATCTCTCTTGAAACAACTATGGAAGAGCTTTTTATTCCACCAATTTCGAAAAGCAGAAAACCAAAAGACAAAAAGCGGGTTTAAACCAACTTTAAAAAATGTACTACGAAAAAAGCTGCTTCTGAAAAAGTCATCTGCAAAAGCAGCCCTTTTGATTGGGCTTTTGGCTTTTGGGATGAAAAATCAAAGCTAAAAGCCCAATCAAACGGACCCATACTCCCTCCGTCTAGAAAATATACGTGCCAGCAAAAGTAGCTGAACAAATTTCAAGTAAATAATATTCATATTTATAGCTTTAAAATAATTTATTATAAAAATACATTTCGTAATTAATCTAATAATATTTATTTAATATTATAAATATTAATATTTTTATCTATATTTGATCGAACTTAAGATGCAAAACCATGACATGGTGCTAGAATTGTATTGTTTGATGGACAGATAGAGTACGGAGTATGCTAGCGTGACCGGACACCTTCGCGTAAGTACAAGTGCAGTGCATTTGGGGCCGTTTGTCTGCTTCGAAGCAAGGCTTATCACTTATCAGAAGAAAGGAACATAAGATCATCAGACCATGTCTTTTTTCACCGAGGAAGGGAATCTTAATTAGTGTTCCATTTGGTTTAAAAGCTTGAATCTGTTTATCGTAATATCATAATATGTTGTTATAACGTACTTCCACTGCTTCAAATTATAAAACGTTAATAATTTAGAACGTCTTATGATTTAGAACAGGAGGAGTACAAATCTTTTGAAATTAGTAGTTAAAGTTAGAAATGTTTAATTTAGAACAAAGTTAATACGATACGTAAAAGAGACGAAGGAAGTATTTATCCCGGCCCATTTGTCTACGTCTACAAAGATAGGCCGACAGAGTGCGTGCAGACACGGATGGCCGTCCAAAATACGGCACCAGCAGGGGAATCTGTCGCTCAATGAAACTACAGAACATATTAACTGAGTGAAGAATAATCCACACGCGTGACGACCTTTCAGAGAAACATAGAGAATAAACAAACAAATGAAACAATCCACGACAGCTGACACTGGAAGTGCCTCCCATAATTTGTGTCGTCAGCTGTGGCCACCAGAACCCTTCTTTTCCTCACGTTTTGGTGGTATATAACGACACAACGCAATACAAAAAGTGAGCCACTTGCCTAATGCCAACCAAAAAGTACAACATGGGACCTGGTTAAGATAACAGCTGATGGGGAATCTACAATTGTACATCCATTATTTTTCTTGTTACCGCTTTCAGCTCTCAGGTACAATCTTTTTTTTCACTTTGGAACCATAAAAGTGAAAAATTCAGAGTACCTTCTCCCCCATGTTTTTCCAACTGGAAGCCTTTCTTGTTACGTTGCTCCTTGTAAAAACTGGCAGGGAGTCCCTGTCCCGGCTGCCAAACCAACCAGCGTACAGCAACCAGGAGTTTTATATGTATCTTAAACTTAAACTCGCTGTGAATGTCGTATTAGTGCCGCGACAGGCGCATGTTCATGGCATTTCTCGCACCTTGTCCTCTTGTGTTGCGCGCCACACCACACCACACCACACCACGCTGCCAGACCAGACTGCTTTTCTGTCTGTCATGGAGCTGGGTCCTGAGTGAGAGTTTGCTCTCCTCGGCTGGGGAGCAGATTGTCAAATTCTGCAGCGCAAGCACAGGCAGCAGACTGGTCCGCTTGACAGCACATCGTGAGGGAAAACAGATAGACAGATGCGATGAGCAGAAGGGTGACGAGAATCTGTTATTGCAACCCGGGTCTTTTTTTTCTTCTTCTTTGTTTCAACAAGAGAACGCCATGTTTCCAGAGTTACATGCATCAATCACCTACTAATAAATCATTGACGCATTCATCACTTCCGGAATCTACTAGAGCTAAAGCTGTACTATGCACAGAACGCTCTAGCATGGCGAAAACTACGGGCCGATCGATCGATCTGGCGTCGCTCCTCCTGCTGCTCAAGGCGCAACAACATACACCACCCCCTTGCGCCACGCGGACTAGGCGGCGGCCACGGTCTCCCCGCCGCTGCCGGACTGGTCGGAGCCGCTGGCGCCGGACACGGACGGGGCCTCCTTGATGGAGGTCAGGGAGCAGGTCTGTTCCATGCGCTCATCGTACTCGATCTGCTTCTCTCGGCACTCCTGACTACAGAATGCCACCTCGCCCCTGCACGGCGCACACAACAGAATCCAAATCATGTCACGGACAAACATATTTAACAAATTATTCCATTCAAGGGGGAAAATACAACTCTTTTAACCAAAGGTAGACGAGGGATTGTGACAACTGATTAAAGAGCTGTGAGTTAGATGGTTCCAAGTGGCGAGGCTTATATCATAATCAACCAACAGCTCATATGATTGGTCACCTAGTATGTTTTATAAATGCTTTGCTTGGTTGGACTGGACAGTGGAGTACAGTAATGTAGGCGCTTGACTCATAATTAATGTAAAATATACACACCTACATGAGGCATCAAACTAATCGTAAACCTAACAAGCATTTAGAAGAATTGGAAATAAATAACATGCCGAAAGGAAGATTCGCATCAAATATTCCTTCCACTAAAAATGGGGGAATAGATTCACATACTCCCAGACCCCGAGTACGAACTAGAACGTGTCGGGTGGTGATGGAATCCGATGGCAATAAATTCACAAAAATCAAGGAGGATCACATAATGCTTCGACATAGATCACAATGATTCCATTAACTCAGTAAAATGGAACAGATCGAAAGGCACGATATCATTACAGCCACGGGGTTGGCAGTCATCATGAATACGAAGGGCACGAGATGCAATCCAGCTTAAAACTGTAAAAGCAACGTGAAGAGATCGATTGAAGCCACATATAGAATTAAAACTGGAACCTGTAGATGAAGGTGTCGTGGCCGGGTCCGAGGCGGCGGTTGCAGAGGCCGCACGCCTTCAGGAAGACCGCCGTCTCCACCGCGGCGAATGAGCCGCCGTAGTAGTAACCCGGCACGGCGCCGCCGCCGGCGGCTCCGGCTCCCATGCCGACGCCGCCAACGGGCACTGAGGACGACGCCGGCACGCCGGCGCCCACCCGCTCCTGGCGCCCCTGCTTTGCCGCCGATGGCAACGTCACCAAACTGGCTGTCCGCGGCAGCACCCTGCTCCTCGGCCGCTTCCCCAGCGCCGTCCCGGACTCGATTCGCTCAGCCGGCTCCATATCCTCCTCTCCTATCCCTCCCTCCCGCTGCCGGCGGCTGCGCGCCCTGTGGTTCGAGATGGGCTTTCTCGTCGCGAGATTTGGAGAGGTGGGGAGCGAGACTGGTGGGTGGAGAGAGGGGTTTTGCGGAGCGGCGCATAAAAAGAGGCCAAGCTGAGCGAGAGCCTAGACTCCCTAGAGGCCAAGGTGAGCGACGCGTGTAATCAGGACCGTTGATCTCTTGGCCAGAATCTCTTCGATGCTACCGATCCGACGCGCGGACTAGTCCGTCGTTTAACCTGGGTTCACGACTCCGCTAGGTGCACCCCATTGCGCTGCCCCCCAGCTGTAAATTACAGCTAAATACCTTTCTAAATACTGCATCGGGTGCCAATTCTGTGCTATATACATCAGTATACGCGTAGCTAGATTGAAGATGTGGCTAAAAACATTCCAGTAGCAGTGAGTCAGAGGCTTCAGAACATTATAGCATCTCTCTCTGCTGGTGTCATTTATTTTACAACAAGTATTTGTCGCCTTCTAATCTGAAGATGTAACGTACTAGGAGAGTAGGAGTATGTGTTTTGTAGCTTCTGCTTATGTGATCATTATATTGGTGCCATGTGTGCGTGTAAATTGTCGCTATACGAGATCTGTCTGAAACGCCACGGCACCAGAGTTTTTCTGTCTGTTCGTTTGTTGGTTTAGTCAGGGCTTATCAGTTCTGGTACAGTGTTTTTTTCTCACAACAAACCAGTGTTAATCGAGCTTATCAGTTTAGAAACCAACCAGCGAACAGGTTGTTTGTCTTAGCGTATTGACCACTGACAATGATGTTTGCAATCTCAGTCCCCCGTGCCTTATACGTGATTTTGTTTCTTGTGCGGCTCATAAAGTTACCCCCAATCAAAGACGCGAGATATTCTAATTCTATTCTAATATATTAAGGCAGTTTGCTTTGGCCGTCTCCTAGCGTGTCCACGTCATCTTAAATTTTGTTAGTCGTTCGATCTTCCCATCCGACGACCCAGATTTCGTAAAGCAAATTTTACCGAAAGCGACTTCTCGTGATTCTCCTTACCTTATCCAGCTTCTCACCTGCTTCTCATTAGACTCTCGTGCTTCTCGTCCGAAGCCAGGCAACCAAATATATATCCAGTTTCTACTTCTCCTTCTTCAAACTTCTCAGAATATCTCGCCTTCTCCTCTCATCTCTCACCCCTGTCGCTCCTAGCCCCGACGCGGACGCACGACACGGACAAGGCGACGACGGCTGACGCGGCGGCTGCAGCCCTCCTCCTCCTCCTCCCCACCCCGGCATGCCGTCCGGCCCAGCATCGCGGCTCACTGCGCCAGGCGCGGTCGGGGCGCGACGGCGCTCCCGGCCTGCGGCGCGGCTTCGCCCGTGGCCACCGGCGATGGTCGTCCCTGGCCACGACCCGGCACGACCGCCGCCATCCCCCCCCACGCTGCCCACCGATGTCACTTCCCCCTGGCGCTGCCTCCTCCCTCTGATTCGTGTGTGCTACTGTGCTCTAGGAAACCCTAGCTGTCCGTGCTACAGGTCGGGGCAGCACAACACTGACCCTGCCTCGGCGGTGGTGCCCTGCTCCCGCATCGAGACGCTCGCCGGTGACAGCGGCGGCGGCCATCCTCTGCTCTATTTCTTCCTCCTTGACCTCCCTTGGGCTTGGTACGGTAGCCTAAAAATCCCCTTTAACTCTTTTGCCACCTTATGTCTCTAATCCCTTGATTTCGCTTTTTGTATGTATGTATTATTTTTACTTACACATACAGTTTGTGTTCTGGAAAAGAAAAACCTAACCATGTCTCAAAGCTTCCTATTACTGTTGTGAACCTTTTCAAAACATATACAGGCGTATGCCATTGCTTATCATGTACGTACAAGAGCAGAGGTCACTGTCTTTTGGATATGTATAAATACCAAACTAATTTCTGCTCTGATGAATGTGATGTAGCCTTTGTATGTTTTTAGTTTGGCTTTAATTTTCAATTATGCCTCCTATATGCTTTTTACCTGTTTAGAAACATGTGAGTTATGTTTTTAATTAAGATCCATGCTGTTGAAACTGAACCTTCATACATGTTCTCTTTCATTTAGTTAGGCAATTCTATCTCACAGGGATGATCGTCCTCTTATCTCGACCGGTGATCTAAGATGTTGGACTGTAGGCTTCTAAGAGGGCAACAGTCAGCGAACAGGTAATCAACATCACAGCAAACAATTTCTGAAGGATTCACACGGCTGTCTATCGTTTTGGTGGATCTACAATCCACTGAAGATGTACTTCCGTATAGGCCCTTTCTATTTCAGGATCACGACCATATGATTTAACTATCCACTGAATTCCTTGGAACTGGTTTAGTAGTTGTTAATTACATAGACTAGGCAAACAAAGGAAAAAGGCGAATGTTTGAGGTCAAATTTCCCATGCTTACTGTTTTTTAGGTCTATACAATATTATTAGCCATTGTTCTTGGTTAATCGACCTTGGTTTAGTAGGCGTTATTTAATTTGATTCTATTCCTGGTAATTGTAATTTGTAGGAATTATGTAATTTAGCTCACAAAATGGTTTGCTAGGCAATTAGGCAGCCTATCAGTAGTTCTCTTCGTATTTAATTCCAGTTCAGTTTATGGTATTTTCCAGTGCTTCACTCCTTTTACTCGAATGATATTCATTGTTGCAACTTGATATGGGTCCATATAGCTACTGCAGGATTGCATGACATTTGGTCATTGTACTATCGGAAACACAAAAATATCGAGTTACATGAGAGGTTGTTGCCATAGATTAACACGTATTTTCTAGGCCTTCCCTTGGTATATTTATGGTTGGGTAGAATAGTATATTCAGATATATGATTCTACCATAAATCTCTGATCAGTATATGTGGTTTTCCTATACATAATTTTATAACTTGTAAAGTTAACACTTAGTTCAGGTTAACCATACTTTGTGTTTTTACTTTAAGATTTTAGTTTCAGGCCATATTAAAATTTTGATTTATCATTTTTATTGAATCTACATATTTTTTATTTTTTTGTCCAAAAATACTAATACCAGTGTCATTTATACACCAGTTAGGTCGATCCAGATGATTCCAGTTACGGCCTAATTACGATGACTTGCTGGAAAAACTGAATTATGCATTCCAATAATTTCTCCACCTGCTGTGGAAGGTAAAATATTTTCCCAGTAATTTTAGAAAATTGACTGAGGGAGTATGCGGCATATATTGTTTCGAATGCTCAGTAATTTTTTCAGTATTTAGCTGCAGAACATAGAATGCATTCGTCAGCCTTAGAACGCGCTCTTGATTTAAATTCTTCACTGCTAATTGCAAATATAGATTTACTCAACCTTGATGCCTTTCTTTGCAACAAGAATATGAAATACAACTAGCCTAAAATTATGTGGTTCTAGGTTAACTCTACTTTGAATAATATAGAGTACGATGTCCACTTTTAGATTGCCCTTGAATATCTGATACGATGTCCATAGTTCGTTCATGACTTACAGTGGACCCCAAAGGAGAAACCAGGCAATGCTTTTGGAGGATGGACAAGGTGTTAGCTTCCTATGCTACCAAACTCTCATCTACCGACAAAGGACAAAATGGACCTCCCTCTATCTAGATTGTTGCCATCTGAACCTTTTTTTATGAAAGATATTTGTCTTGATATTACTGACACGTTTTTAAAATTCCTTTGTGCTTATTGTTGTCTATTGAAAACTGACCATACATGTTCCAGGTATTTACATGTGACCCCGCTTTTCTTTTCGGTCTTGTGAGTTCTTGTTGTTGCACAGGAAAGCAGATGTAGAAATGGTGGCAGCAAGGACAGCCAATTAGGACAATAGATGGTGAGTTCTTGTTTAACCCAGCCACTTCAGCTGTGTAATTCTTTTTGGAAACATGATAACCTGGAGCGTATGGATTTAGTTTTTCCTTCATTTTGGTGTGCTTTGCACGAACAAATACTGAGATACGTCTTTGATCGCTTAGACACAAATGGTATGGTCTATTGTGCCGCGTTTGGTGTTGTGCTTCTGTAATATAACCCAGAGAAACAAATAGATCTGTTCCTCAGTTAACCTTTGCTAAATAGACCTGCATTGTTACTTATGGTGTATGCACTGGCCTTGATTATTTCTTATGCCATCGTAAGGTTTAGTTCTTGGGCCACTGAACAAAGGAGAGGGATTGGGCTAACTTTAGAGTTTGCATTTTGGTCTGTTTTTCTGTGACTTCTCTGCTTGCTTGTGCAGTACAGACTTCTCTATATCATCAGGTTGGAGACCAAATGGATGATTTCTTTTATCCTTTATTATTTCATTGTAGATTCTCTTATCTCCTGATGCAAGATGAATTGTATTTAGTTCTTAATTTTTGCATGTTTGGTGTTTGCCCTACTGAATCTAATATTGTCTAGTTTTACTTTATTTCTTACAGTCCGGTGTGTAAACACTAATGTTTCGTGCAGGCCTACTCCATAAAAGGTATGATGCTTCCTCAGAATAGTCCTCTTATATAATGATGCTGCAGTGAAGCTTGCTTCTTTTAGAATTAAAACAGTAGTTTGAATATGCCCATGAACAGTTAAAACAGTAGTTTAAAATAGTAGTTCTTACGGTAGTAGTTTAGTTGAAGTAAAACAGCAGGGGTTAATGAGGCTTAGCAATTTGAATATGCCCATGAACAGTTAGTGCTTAGTAAAATATAGTATAGTTTTTTATTGTTTTTACATGTCTATGAGAATTAAATTCATTTATTTAGTTACATGAAGTCTGAGAGACGAAAGGATTATAGCAAATGTCCCCGTTCGTGTTTATTACTAGCCATCTTAAAATTGTACATACATATCCTCTAGCAAATGTAAGAAACAATTAGGTCCATTTTATGATGCTGATGGTCATTGAGCTACCGTGCTATTTGGGCAAGGTGACCCTATTGTGTTGAGGCCTAACACTTTCTATTTGATGAGCTCTTCATTTG